CACAGCTTTTTTAATTAATTGACCATTAACCCACGCGGAGAAGGTGGTGACTCGTGACTGCTGCAAGTTGGATTCAAATGAGGGGTATAATAGTCAAATAATTAAAAAAAGCTGTGGTATTAACAGTAGTGGCTGTGGCAATAACACCGCCCAAAATAGTGACATAAAATCACGTCTTAAATTAATGTTGTCTATTTTATTTATTATTCATTAATTTTTTTGAACGACACAATCATCAATATATTTTATTTATTACTTAAAAAAATTAAGATATTATGATATTTAAAACATTAAAATATTTAATTATAATTATTAAATATAATATATGAGATACAGTGTATATCTTAATTTTATTAAATTTATTATATAATTACTATTAAATATTTTAATGTTTAAAATGTTAGACTATCCTAATTTTCTTTATTTCCTATTATCTATTCATCAATTTTTGTTTAATTAAGTAGCTCAGTCCTTATATTCTTCTCAAATTTGCTACAAACTATTGGAAGTACAACTCCAAAACATTTGGGCTCAGTCATGTTATTGAACTTTTTGTTTTAATTTAAAATTTTTTTTTAAATAAAATCTAAAAATTTTATGAATTAATTAAATTTAAAGACTTAGATATTACTCCTTTTGTCCTAAAATAATAATTATTTTTTAAACTTTTTTTAAATTAAGGGTTTAAAAATTATTTATGTATTTATTTATAGAATAATAATAAATGAGATTAAAATTTAATATTAATGACGTGACATAAATTAAGTTATTTAAAATATTAAAATGTAAATTTTGATATTATTTAATAATTATTTTTTAAAACTTTATAATATTATATGTATCAATTAAGTTAATAATATTAATTATGTCATATCATTAGATCTAAAACTTATACTACCTTAAAAAAATGCTAAAAATAAAGTGAGATTTTTTTGTAATAGGATAATTTATCAAATTAAATGAATAGTGATAAGATTAAAGTATAAAAAAAATTCATTTATCTTAATAAATAAAAATAATTAATTTAGAACAAACTTAAAATAAAAAAATAATTATTTTGTGAAAAAAAATGTTATTTTAAAACTTTATACATAAAGTGAGATTTTTTTGTAATAGGATAATTTATCAAATTAAATGAATAGTGATAAGATTAAAGTATTAAAAAAATTTATTTATCTTAATAAATAAAAATAATTAATTTAGAATAAACTTAAAATAAAAAAATAATTATTTTGTGAAAAAAAATGTTATTTTAAAACTTTATACATATAAGTTATTAATTTTTATTTTTATTCTTTAATCATTAATTTTAATTATTTGAATTTAAAAAACCTAAACACGCCTAGACTACTCCCTAAAATTAATCAAGCAATTAAGGTAAATAAATCATTCTCTTAGTAGACTTTTACATGGTATCGATTCGCTAAAATTCGGTGTTACTTAATTCGCCCTTGAAATGAAATTAATCAGCCACGCGGATAGCCAGGCGGATTGCCCCCAGACCGCGTACAAAATTTCCACCTAATGTGACAGTTAGACACAAATTTCACTCACGAAATCCCTGATTTGCCCCCAGACCGCGTACAAAATTTCCACATGCTACCACGATAAAAGGGAAATTTCACGGACAAACTTCTTCGCTCTCACTCTCTCTTTGTTCCATTTTTGCAGTGAGTTGACTCATTCGATTCCGATCCATGGCCGCCGTTGTCCATCCGCACGACTCGCTTTCCCCCGAACAACAGAGCCCAGAGAAAGATGCTGTGCCGCCTCCAAAATCCGATTCTCCCCAGTCGGAAAAATCGGATCTGAAGCCGGGGACTTATGTAATCCAGATCCCCAAAGACCAAGTTCTCCGCGTCCCGCCGCCGGAGAACGAGAAACGCTTCCAGCAACTCTCCAAGCGCAAGCCTGGCCGTAGTAAATGCCGCCGGTGCTTCTGCTTCTTCTTGGCCACACTATTCGTTTTCCTACTTGCGGTGGGTATTGCTGCCGGTGTTTTCTACTTGGTGGTCAGACCCAAATTGCCAGAGTACTCTGTCGAGAGTCTAGCCATTGAGGGGTTTAATCTGACGTCATCGTCGCCATTCTCCCCGGAATTCAACGTCACCGTCCATGCTAACAACCCAAATAACAAAATCGGGATATACTACCAGAAAGACAGCTCCGTTAGAGTTTATTATGACGACATCAACATCTGCAGCGGCTCTCTGCCGGTGTTCTACCAGCCGACAAACAATGTGACGGTGTTTAACATGGCGTTAAAGGGGTCTGGGCTGGAGTTGACTAGCACGATGCAGACGGGGCTTCAGGAGGAAGAAAACAAGGGGGCAGTGCCGTTTAAGTTAAAGTTTAGAGTGCCGGTGAAAATCAAGGTGGGGGCTGTCAAGACGTGGACGATCACCGTTAAGGTGAGGTGCGATATATCGGTGGATAAGTTGACGGCCGCGTCGAAGATGGTGTCAGAGCATTGTGAATACGGCGGCGTGGATCTTTGGTAGCAAATGTGGAAGTCTTTGGTAAATGTTGTATCATGATGATTATCGTTATTTTTTCTGGTCTTGTAACATATATGATACTATAAAATTTTAATAAGATTACTAATTTTTTTTTTTTTATAGTTAAAAAATATTACTTCATCCGTTCTAACTTTAGTAGCCTTTTTATTTTTAATAAAATAAAGATAAAATAATTTATTAATAAAATTTTATATTTATTTTTAATTAAATAATACTTGTATAAAGTTTATATTTGTAATTATTATTTTAAAATAAAAATAAAATAAGAATAAGTGTATCAAATGATACCTTGAAAAAATAGAGAGCTAAATTTTAAAAAATTTAAATTGAAAATTAGGTTTGAAGGTAAATGGTGGGAGTATTTTATTATTATTTAATTTGATTGGGTTTTTGACATTGTATTTTTGTTATTTCATTTTGGGTTTAATGTAAATAAATTCAACCTGTCCTATTTATTGAACAAGTCTTGTGGGTGTGGTGAAAAAGTTGGAAAAATGGAATAACGAAATTGCATAAAGAATTAAACAACTTCAAATCTTCCAAGGAAATTTTGTTTAAGTTGGGAAGAAAAGAAAGAAGCAATGGGTTTTTTTAGTATTTGTTTCTGACATTTTGAAGTGGTCATGGTAATGAGGTCCCTATTTTTCATTTTTATTTTTTATGATTCTGTTTATATTATAAATTATAAATTTATGTGATAATATCATGCGTTACATTATTCAAACCAGTGATTAAGCCATTTCAGAAAAGTTTTCAGGAAACAGATTCATAAACCACTGCCCAGGCATGGATCATTACTGCCTAAAATGTCACAGAACCGCTATATCCTCTGCAGACTTGTCCTGAAGACCTCAAACTCAGAAATTTAAGCAATGACCTCCTGAATAGTTGTTGATATTCGAAGGGGGACAAAAATCAGATGCACAAGATGTGAAATCAATCATAAACAACTCAATGCAGTCTAGTCAAGATAAGAACATGGGGGGTGGTATGCCCTCAATGTACGTTGAAGTAAAAAGTCTGTACAGAGGTCTGTCACATTCCGGTAATTACAGCTTAAACCATGAACCATCCCGTTTTATGACATTCGATCAAATTAGAAGTAGATCCTTTTATTGATTACTTGAATTTAACACGAGTACCCACAACCCTTCTATTCCTTCCTCAGTATAACAATGGCAGCTTCAAATTCAGCTCCTGTCTTCAATGCTTCACAATTTTATGTATCCTTTGATCTCAACTTCATGCATGTGCTCTTCATCCAAAATCTTCTCTCCTCTACTGTGTTTTTAAGCTTGAGTCTTCAACTCATCGATGCTGCTCTTAGCATCATGAGCAGTCTTCTTGATATAATTATTTTTAGCATTCTGGATGTCTTCATCAAGTTTTGCATACATCTTCACCGAAGCCTCAGCAAATTCATTCAACTGACCAACAAATTTAACCAATCTATTATGGAACCGAACAAAACATGAATTCCAGTCCTCTGAAACGTCGTCTCTTAATAGATTAGCTCCTGAATCACTGACTGTGTCACCCTTCCACGGTGTTGCATTTGAATGACCAATGTTCTTTCCTTTATTCTTCTCTTGGCGTGGTAAAAAGTGAGATATCTCAGCTGTTAAACTCTTAATGGAGTCTGGGACTCCTCTAGGCAACTTTTCAAGCTTCTCCAACCAGACACCAACTGTGACATATATTGGAGGGTCATAGTTTCTAACGGGCAGGGTTTTATACCTTCTTTTCTTTGAGGATTTTTGAGTATTAGAGACGCATTTGAGAAGCCAATTGTTTATGGCCTGCAAATAGGCTTTCTGAGCGTCAATCCACTTAGAGAAACTTGCGGAGAGAGAGCTGAGTTCATTTTCAAGATGAGCAGTCATTTGACGATGTGATTCAGACTGCATGGAGATCTTCATGTTGACATTGCTGAATGCTACACCAATGATTTCATCTTGACACTTATGGCATTCAAGCATCACTTCCCACATTCGACTTAACCTGTATTGTTACAGAAAATTAAACAGTTAGTACTCTAAGTGACGAATCTGCACTTATATAAATATCTACATTTGACTAAAATATTCTTTATGGGGAACCAAGTCATCCTAATAGTTAAACCTGGTATGCAATGGCCAAATATTTATATCTAAAGTATCCTCTGATGCCAAATAACAAACACATACATACCCTTCAATCAACTCCTCAAGTTGTGGTTGTAGCTCTTTGTCCCGTAATTCTTCGATTCTTTTAGATATTGAGTCTATTCTGTGAATTGCAACTCTAATTCTGGAGTGCAAGTCCTTGACAACAGCTCGAGTTTTGTCAATTTTTTTGTCAGTTTTTTGGGCACTTCGTACCTTTGATTCTAGCAGCCTCAGGTCTTTACACTTCAAGTCATACTCCCTTCTGATTGCCTCACTAGCCTGCAGTCAGATAAAGATGAAGATCACTATATTTAACTAAAATATCAATAACCATAATTCTGTTTTCATTTTACACATAATTTCTAGATTAATACATCATTGATCAAGACATTCCAACTAAGAATTCAGGAAACACAGTAAAATATTTCACGACATTCAGAATAGCAGCTCTGGATTACTAACTTAATTTCTTTTTAGCATTTTTGAAAATTGTAATGCTTTAAAATAGAATCAACGCGTTAAGGTGATTTCTGTTCTAAATGCATTAGCTCAACTTTAAAATCTGTCAATGCCTGTGAATCAGGTCTTTATATAGAAATATACAAGTTAAACAAGTGTCCGTAGGACAGCCTTTTCTTTTTCTTCTTTTTTTTTTTTTTTTTTTTTTTTAAGCGTTTATAGAAGGAGGAATGAAGTTGTTGAATGATAAAAGATCCTTATGTTTTCATTCAATAACAACAAAAAGATGCTTGCATCAGACAAGCAGCTGGGTGTCACTGAAGCCAAACATGGACTGCAAAATGCCTGAGCCTAGCCAAATATATAACCAGACGGGATAAAGGATTACAAGGTACAAGAACAATAATACTAATCACCTGGAAGAACTCTATGAGTAGTCAGAGAAAGATACCTTCACTTCGTCATAAAGCTTCCTCTCCCATGCATATAGTCTATCCAAGGTTGAGGCATGACTGGCTGAGATCATGCAGATATTATTGAAAAGATTGTTGGTAAGATCCTCAACATCATCCTTCCCATTTAATTCCATAGGATTCCCAGATGAAAATGACCGAGATGATGTTGTCCTTTGCCAAGTCAAGTACTTAACAGTAGTTTGAGGAGGCTCTGAGTGAGGAGTAGAAAGGCTTCCATGAGTAATCAAGTTGAAAATACAAACTGGAATTCTACAAATAAGATAGCAGTCGCCTCTGATTTCATTCCATTGTCATTTGTCAGCTGATTCACAAGGTGAGCATAATAAAAACTACACTGTTTCAGTTTGTTCATTTATTTATGTATGTATTGGTCAGTGTCAACAGATCAGAGCCAATAGAGGAAGTTTTTAAAATTTAAACTTCTCTTCACCTGACAATATTGCAGATCAAAGCTAGAGGTAAGATCCAAATTCAATTCCAAATATGAAATGAACAAGGGTTTTTAGTTTCGTAATCATAATCAATATAAAAGAATATGAGATGCAAACTTAGATATTTTACTCTCATTTATAAATCTACATGAGCAGAATACATCTAATTTCAAACTGATTATGGATTTACCTTCTTTTACTTGGCTTGGATCTTCCCCACAAGAGAAACAAGCCTTAAGGAACATGGATGCCCTTGATCCACCTGCCACATAGAAGAACTCTGTCACTAAAAACTTTCACTGATTGACACTATTGAAGAGAAGGATGAATTATTTCTAATGGTCTTTTGGTACACTCCCCAAATTCGAAATGTGTCAAGGGCCAAGCCATCCAAATACCTTTCACTGCTCAGTAACATGCGCCCCTTACTTACAAAATCAGGATTTTCTAATTGTTAAGAGACATCAAATACTTAAAAATCTAACTTCCCTTGAAACCACTGTTTGAATACATGTGCTTGTGGATTAGAGAGGAGGAAGAATGGTCTCACCATTTTTCCCTGGGGAAATTGGTTGGAAATGCAATTTATTTGCTTCAAGCATCCTTGGAACTTCTTTCCCAGAATCAGAAGCTTTTATAAAGAGAAACTCAATATCCTTCATGCTTGAAAGGAAGTCTTTAGGGGCAACCTTACTTCCAGCAGAACCTTCTTTCACAGGTGTTTTCTTTGCATCATTTGGGCCATTAACAGTTGAGGGTGTGGCCCTTAATGGTGATAAATAAGGAGTGTTGCTTTTTTCACCATTCATGAACTCAGTTTCTGAGGCCACACTCCCTACAGAAGGCATAATTGGTGAAGCACTGGCCACATTAGGCTCGTGTACCCTATTCAAATTCTCAAACCTCCGAACAAGAGTATCTGCAGAGGGCTCGTCAAATTCATCATCTGAATCAGGAGATCCTTCCCTTTCATGAAAAGAAGCCTTATCTTCATCTTCCAGCTCTGGAATTCCCTCCTGTTCCCTAAGCTGTCTAATATCATCAGCATTCTCCAAACCTTGGTTCAATTCCTTCCCATGGTCCATTGGAGGGGAAAGACCAAAGTAATCCCATGGTGGTGGTGCAGTTAGCGGTGGCAAAGAAGAATCCTCAAATGGTGATGATTCAGGTTTTTCAGGGGAGCGAGGTGTGGTATCCTGTGGAGTAGCACTTGAAGATGTTACCAGTGCAATAGCAACAACTGGTTCAGGGGGTCTTTCTTCGACTTTTTTTGATGGAAACCCCCACATTTTCATATGGTTTGCCTGAAAGTGAATGGAACTGGGAGGAGAAGGAGATGGAGAATAGGTTTCTGTTGCATCTACTCGTTGTGAAATTGATGGAGAAAATGAAAACTGGGAAAGAGACTTCTCGGTTAAAGCAAGTGGTTCTGGTGTTGCATTAGTGGAAGTGCACAAGGAAGATGCAACTGGAGCTTCAGGCTCAACAAACCTCCTAAGAGCACTTCCAGTATTTTTTAATGACTGAATATATGTAACATGAGCAGCTGCTAGTGCGCATCTGCCATCAAGTGCCTGCCGTACAAACTTCTTCCTTTCACGACATAGCTGCAGGGCTTTATCTTCTTCCATTTTAGAGCCTGAGGCACCCATTTTCCCAGCCTCTGAATGTGAATACTCTTCTTAGCAAGAGATCAGGACATAATCTTCTCCTGCAAATAAATCAACCTCAGCAAATGGCATACAAATCTTCAAAGACCGTACAAGAAGAATTGAATTTTGAAAGACGGATAAAGAAAGCTCTAACAAAAAGACAAAGTGCCAACAATGCCAGGATAATCCTATCTGAGTATCTTCTTAATCTATCAGATAACTTGTTCATGGGTTTCCAAACAACTATTCAATGCATGCATCTTCACATTTCAGTTTAAAATCATTCCCTTAAATTCATTAGTTTTTCAATTTAAAAAACTGGAAACTAAACCTGATAGCAGAAATGAAATAGATTCAAAGAGCAAACTTTAACTCAAAACTCAGAGTAGGCCTGCAATCTCTTTGCAAAAAGTATAACGGCAATGATGTATAAAGAACGCCCAGATATCTTTAATCTCTCACCATAAAGCAGCTTGGAATTGGGAGAGAGAACTAATCAAAAATTGCGAAGTTCAAAATTTCAGCCTGAAAAGAAGAAAACCCAAAAGGCATATTGGGGGTGGGGGAATCTCAATGGATATTCAGAAGTGCACCTCCCAAAGAAATAAAAACCTTTACTAATTAGTAATCAAAATTTTCTACTCCTGAAAAACATATATTTCAAAACCCATTACTGCAAAACCTTTCCAAAAGTCATATCTAATAAATCTTCACATCTGCTTGTCCAAACAAGACCTTTCCTCAAATAGAAGAAAACCCAGTTCAGTGGCAGAAATCGCATCAAAACAGATCAAATTAGAAAGACCAGAACAAAGTGAAGCTCCAAAATGAACCAAATTAGGAAAATCGAGATTCACCCATAAAGAACAATCAAAAGCTAGTAAATTGTTAACAACCCAGATAGCAAAACCAATCAAATCCATCTTCCTAGAAAAGAAGATGAATTGAATCATACCCAATTCCAGAAACTGCTCTTAGAAGCAGAACCCTTCAAGAACAAACAGAAAGAAGTAGAGAACTCCTGGTTACACACCTGAGAAAGTGAATAAAAAATGTACTGATTGATTAGATAGATATCTAGATGGGTAGCTTAGATTTCAGAGAAGGTTGTATTCACATGGAAGAGAATCATTGTGATAAGTGTAGAGTGCAGATGATTTTAGATTTTAGCATTGTGAGGGAGAAAGGGGGTGAGTCACCATCTACGGAGAGAAGAAGGCTGCGAATCTGACTGACTCATCTCCTTTCGGCCACTGTTTCCATGCAAAACGCATTTGTTGCACAAGCACAGCCACTGAACCGCGGTGGGGCGGTGGGTCCTTTTTTATTTATTTATTTTTGTTTCTTAGCATTCAAGTTTTTTTTTTTTTTTTTTAATTAGGTTAAATACCCTTTTTGGTCCTTCTACTATAGGAAAAAGTCCATTTTTAATCCTTATATCGAAAAAATCCTCTTTTTGGTCCTTAAAGTTCGAAATCCGACCCCTTTTTTATCCCTCCGTTAAATTTTAGTTGATGTAGCAGGTTAATTAACGAAAAACCTTTTTTTTTTCTTTACTTAAATTGTGTGGAAAATCCATCTGTTAAAATTTGATGACATGGTCAATTTTTTTATATAATTGCCATTACAAATATTTTAAAGGTTATTTTGTGGTTAAAGGTA